CAAAAGTAGGCTAGGACCTGCATGCTCAATCCAGAGTGACTGACTGTTACAGTAAAAAAATTAAATAGGACCCAGAGTCTCCTAAATAACAGCCAAAATGTCCAAATTAAAACCACTCATTGTATACAAAGAATGAAGGAAATCACAACTTGCATAAGAAAACATAATCATCTGACTCCCATATTGAGATGAAACAGATATTAGAATTACCTAAGGATTTTAAAGTAACGATCATAAAAAAGATTCAACAAGCAATTACAAATTCTCCTGAACCAAGTGGAAAAAATAGAAATGTCAGCCAAGAAATAGAAGTTATTGAAAAAGAACCAAATGGAAATTACAAAACTGAAAAAATAACAGAAACAACACAACTAACTGGATGAGCTCAGTGGTAGAGCAGAGATGACAGAGGACAGAATCAGTGAAGCTGAGGACAGATCAACAGAATTTACCCAAACTGAATAACAGAGAGAAAGTAAACTGAAAACAAACAGTTACAGGAAACTGTGAGGCCCTAACAAGAGAGCTAACATTATAAATGTTAGACTGGTGTCCTAGAAGGGGAGGAGAAAGAGTGGGACTGAATGAGTATTCGAAGAAATAGTGACTGAAAATTCCCCAAATTTGGCAAAACATATAAACCTACAGATCAAGAAGCTGAGTGAATCCCAAATAGTATAAATCTCAATAAATCTATGCCAAGACACATCATAATGAAACCTCTGAACACTAAAGAAGAAGAAATTATTTTTAAAATTACCAGGAAAAGGGGGTGGGAAGGGATAAATTTGGGAGTTTGAAATCTACAAATGTTAGCCACTATATATAAAAATAGATTTTAAAAAGTTTCTTCTGTATAGCACAGGGAACTATGTTCAATATCTTGTAATAATCTTTAATTAAAAAAATGAAAATGAATATATGTATGTATATGCATGACTGGGACACTGTGCTATACACCAGAAATTGACTGCACTTCAGTAATTTTTTTTTAAAAGCAGAGAAACAACACAATACCTATATGCAGACAGTAACTCAAATGACAGCAGATTTCTCACCTGAAATAATAGTGGCCAGAAACAAGTGATACAACATTCCTCAAGTGCTAAAAGAAAAGAACTGTGAATGCTATATCTGGTGAAACTATACTTTAGGAATTAAGGGGAAAGAGAGACATTCTCAGATGAAGGAAAACCAAAAGAATTAATCACCAACAGATCTACTCAAAGAATAGTTCAACAATGTTCTTCAAAAGAAGGGAAATCATGAAGGAATCTTGGGTCATCAGACAGGAAGAAAGAACAACAAAGAAAGAAGAAATATGGGTAAGCACAATTGACTATCAATCTCCTCATGAGTCTTCTAAA